GTCTATGTCGATAATTTATTATATTATCATCGTTCATCGGCTGAAGGATCGCATGAGCTCGTAGGTAATATTTCAACCATTAGACATTGCATGGCAAACGTTTTATATGTACACTTGTCAATTGCATAGTTGATCAATTTAAAATTGTACATCCATTTGTTAACTTGCATTTACCTTATGATGTGTATACTGTATATTTAACCCAATTAAGCCTGTAAATTATGCTTGGCGCAAATCTTGGCCATTCATCAGCTGGCTTATAACATACTTGAACGTAGGTAAATTCATTTTCCAGTTGAACCGTGAAACAAAGTTACCAACGCAATTAACTTAAAAGTGAAATCGCATAGGCATCATCCATGAAAGCAATCATTGCTTGTCATTGATTATGTTGCTATTGGTCAATATGGAGACGAATTATAATTGATTAATGGCTTAATGAGGTCTTAGTTAACTGTAGACAGATGTACTGTACTGTGAATGATGTCGAAAATCATCTTGCATTACACTGCAAGATGATGCCAAGACAGTAGATTGACTATCAAGTTCAAACTTGTCTTACTTACTTTAAACGAATGGACCTGTGTCAATCATTCCATGAGGGAATTTTCTACTGTGTCAATGATGATGATAGTACCGTATTAACAGAAATGTCTACTCTCTCCACACTGCTAGCTACTGATGTGATATTTAAATAAACACTTACCTATTGAAAAGGGATACTTTGCCTTTCAGAAGTTCCTTTAGTGAGTGGTAGTTTACCCCTAAAGCTTCATTACTAACATGTCGCCATAATCTTCCTCCTGGCTTGTTATGCTAACATTTACGACGATGTTAGTTAGTATTTTCAAAAGAATCTTTCAGCGAATTAAATCCAAGAATCTGTAAGATAAATTGATCGAGATATCAACTCAGTTAGTCTTGCTTCTGATTCATATTCATTCGATAAAGTAATTTACTTACAATTCAGCAAGTCAATGGAATTTCACCACATGGCTTGAAGAAGGAAGGAAGGAAGAAAGCGTCAAGTTTCATTGGACCAATCATGGTTAGTCAAGATTTCTCTCTCTTCATTAAGTTGAATCGGATTTCTCTTGAGTAGTTAGTAAGCATCGTTAGGCAATCTAACCATTCGATCGATGAATAAAGGCACTGTTGACTAACGTAGTAAAACACCCAGTCACGCATTCCATGTTTTCTTTTCCATGCTAAAAATGAGTTCTATTAAGATACGAGGACTGTGGAAGGCACAATCGCTAGGCAAGTAATAGTAATGTAAGTGAGGTAAATTGGCTTAGCTTTACCGCTTTCTTTGCAATAGGAGTATTTGTAGATCTGCAATGATCAAGTCTCATACTTTCTACACAGTTCTTACATTAGTAGGTCCCGCCATAGTATCAACAGCCATAGAAGTCGCTATTTTTCGCCAGTTTCACAGCCAATATACTGCAAGTTACGATAGATTGAGAACTTGCATGAGTAGAAAAGGCGTTGGAAACAATTTCGTCCATGAGCCAACGTTAAAATCAGTTAAAACGATACAAGTGAAAAAATACCTCTATGGTTAAAAGACTGATCCAACCTTATAACCAACAATGTAGCCATTTCGTTTGTGTAGCCATAGCTTGGAAAATTACAGTATGGACATGGTATTGGCATCTATTGCAACTGGTGTATTTGATCATTCAGTCAGGTTTTCTGCCCAATTTCACCGCATTCTATCGTTTCGATCAAGACAAGGTTAGCCAAGACTGGCAGAAAGTATTTGTAGCTCACTACAGTAGAAGGAAAACTGGATAGAATCAAGTTTTAGCCCATGGAATGCCAACAAATCAATCGTAATCCTAACAGACAGGAATTGCAATTTGCAGCTATGGATGTGCATGATTACTCAGTGCAGTTTTTAATGCAGAATTAGTGTATCTTGCTACTACAGTATAGTAGTGTGTCCAAATTCACCATTGCACAGTCATCTATAGATGATAAATTCATGTAGTAGTCCATATTCTAACTTAATCTTTGTGATCAAATTAGACTCTTGTAAAATATCGAGTAAGCAGACAGCAGAGTTAGCATAATGCCCTAAATCCTAGTTTGAATCGCTTATAGCGCAGTATATAATATATTGAATCCCTTAATGGCAGTGTACTTATTAATGCCTCCTCGTCTCCATTTTTGCATGCCCAGTTGTCCACGCTATGGTCTACGCGTGCAATGGCAAGCCAACGCAATTGGCCTCAAGTTGATGTAGAAACAGTTTAAGAAGTTTTATCCAGTAAGGTATTGAATGGCATATGCCAGCATGGAGACCGTTCCAATTCTGTAGTCGATTCCGTAATTTTCAGCATGTTTAGAGGTAATGGTGAGTGAAAGCGAGTCCTGCAGCGTACTGCAAACTCCTCCACGCATTTCTTGGCTATAAAACTAGTGTTAATCCCTTCTGATATCAGCCTCGACTTGAATATTTTGCAGTCGTCGTGTTGGTGCAATCATCATCGATGTGGAAGGAGTCTGATGACTAAATCGCCGTACTAAATCATGCCACCATCACCGATAACTCTATGACTATTTTATCCATTGGTTTTTCAAAGTAGATTGCAAACTTTGTGTCTTTGGTATATAAACAGCAGTGAATTCAATGTTAATGACCATCTAATAGTAAATCGTTGAAAATGGCTATGGCCATCTACCAGTTGAAAGGATTCCTCACTGCATGTAGAAATGTACCTTGATGAAAGTTGTGAAATGCATTCTTATGCAACATAGAATCAGTTCTCTTGTAAATTCGTTAATGACCAATATGACTGACTGATGGTGACTTGATTGGATAGCTAGTTTAGAGCTGTGTCAGCAAATACTTTACAATTGGAAATCTGCTCGTCTATAAAGTTGTCTACAATGACGATCAAAAAATGGCTACACAATCCAAAGAAGTGATGATTATATTTGGTTACTTGGTATGCCCTACCTAACACTATTGAGTGCGGTGTTGTTACTCAATAAAATGCTTTTAATAAAGGATGATTTCAATGGCAAATATTGACTACGCCTTTAACAGTATCATATTGACCATTTTGTTGGACATTATGATATGTCCTCTCTCTTCAAATTTAGTAGTTCTTGCTACTTGTATCGAGTAGAGTACAGTATATAAAGTTTTTGAACTGGATGATGAAGTAAAGTTAATGCTGTAGATTATGGGCCATCGGTCAACAGTCGTGCCTGCTGCGCCCTGAAATAACAAACTACGGTCAACAAAATAACCAATTGCCCAACTTTAACCACAACGAAGCCTTGAAGGCAAGCGAAGAAATGACATTTGCTCTGAACCCGTACAAGCCTGGCACAGCCATTGCTGCATAGTTTCAATAGTATCTCATAGGACACTTGGGCTGAAAATGGCACCTTGAAGAATCATGAATTTGGACATATCCAACAACATGCACATGGCAGAATATCATTTCATTACCATTATATTTGTACGCGCATATTGAAGGTTGAAAATCGATTACCTTTGAACTGGCTACGTTGTAGGGAACATTTTTTGCCTAATGTAATAGGATTTTTAGTGGGTAGAAGTTTACTCGTATGCCATCTTCAATTCTATTTGGTTCTATTTGCTGACTTTGCTCATCGTTAGAATAAGCAGCATACAGTGCAATTGATAGAATTATACCTACATTTCGGCCCCAAAATAACATCAAACTATCATTAGCCAGTAATGAAAAAATTAAATTGGTAAGTTTGACATTTGCTTGAATTTCTATCACATTATTCCTTACTTTTGAACTAAAAATAGAAATTGAAGGTTTCCAAAAGACGTGGACAAAAGCCATCTTACTGTACATGCTATCTTAAGAATCTTATTCAATTATAAATGTCATTAACATTAATTTTTCATAAATTGATGCAAAAGATTCTTCACTAGCGCTGTGTCTAAAGTTATCATCTACTGTACAATTAGATTTCATTATTCAGTGACAGTCCAGCCTCGGTCTTTGCAACATGGATGGTTGCATTTTCAAGATAAATTTCTAGTTACATTTATATATGAGTTTGTAGGAGCATCTTGAATTATTGTTCAACCTTTTAAATAACCGAATTGTTTGTATTTCTGTGTTGGAATACGAATCGTATGCATATAAATTTGTACCCGGCATCGCCCTACTATTCCATTAATTACATAAGCATAATATCAATTCGCTGACAAGTACCGTAATCGATTATTGCAACAAGACTTTATTCGAATTGGCACTAACTTGTCGTTTTTTTAAATTGAAGTTATCAAATCGACTCAACATTTTCCATTGATCGATTCTTTCTAAAAATAGTCAAAGAAAAGATGGCCGATAATAAATCCATCCACTCTATAATTCCTCCTCATATACAATCATTGTATGAAAATGGTGAAAAGTACAAGACTACCTACAATTGAACCCAAGGATTATCTTATTCTACGCAAGCTCTAGATGAGATTCAAGTGTTTTGCAATCCTTGTGTCAAGATTAATCGACTTCGATGCGATATATGTCTTGATATGTGCGATATTTATATTTTACAAAAAGAACGGAAGAAAGCAAAGAATGGAAAGAAAAGGGACATCTCTGCCTACTTAACTGCAAGATAAAGTGAAAATGGCTGAATAGTTAGACAGACAAAGTAAGATTAAGGGATGGTAATGGGATTGGAAAGAAACACTGGAAGGCTGTTATAAATAGCTGAACTTGAAATTAAAATGTTTCCATTAAAAATGATCCACGCCTTGCTGATAGTTATCCGCAGATTGGGCGCATCTACAGTCATCAGGGCAAGTCTACAAAGGCGCTTTCTAAGTATGACAAATCCCTTAAAGTTGGATTATTAGTTCTTGGTCACAATCATCCCGATGTTATATAACAATATTGGAGTTGTCTATGAGAAACGAGGCGAGTATAATTTGGCTCTTTCTACATATAACAAGCCACTCAAGATTCGATTATTACTTCTTGGTCACAGTCATCATGATATTGGGCTCTAGTCAATCGATTATCGATAAAGTTACAAATTCTATATTTGTCAAACGGCCACACGAAATTGTCAAGAACAAACTCATCTCCACTGTCAATGAAAGGATGGTCAAGTTTAAAGGGGCTGCTTGTCGATATTTCGTCAAATGTAGTGAATATAATACACCAACAAGTATAACCGAAGAATACAAGGAAGGAGATCAAAATTGGATTCAATGTAAGCATTGTAAGATGGAATTTGCCAGTCAATCTTTGAACGATTGGATGATTTATAATGAAAATTTCTGGATAGGTAAGCATGTGAGAATAAACAGCAGCTTCATTCTTATATTATCACTTTTCATGATATAATAAACTAAAGTCATACGCTAGAGCAAGCAAAGAGGCATAAATGTACTCTATCATAGCTATTTTACTATTTAATACAAGGTGATTTTGTAATAGCGTAAACAATAGTTGATTATTATCAAACATTATGGGCACTAATTTACTGTATTGATTACTTAAACGATACAACTACTAATCGATTGTGGCTATTTTTATTCCACTACTTTAGACCAAAGGAAAGATACCAAAGATAAAGGTAAACCTCTATTGAATTGATATCTATCAATCATTCTCAATTGCATTTAGTAATCCAATTGTAGATCGATTCAAATATGCTTAAGAGCAATTACTCCGTGTAAATTCTAACATAGGAATACCTTACCTCGTCAATGGATGTAATTCTTTAAGCTACGTTTGCCACTGATGATATGATCGCATACAGTTTTACTAGATAATGATATCACTGACGAATTTTTAAGATCGTCATTAGAATATTCTAGCTACTAGTAAGCTACTGAACATAATAAATAATGATTTATGAATTAAAAAATATTCAATCTTAATTTATTTGTACATTGTTTGTCCAGTAAGTAGTTCGTTTACAGAGTTATTCAAATTCGAATTAGAGCCATTTATTTCTATTAGTCTTACAATAGAAGTACAGTTCCACCTGTGCTATCGCTAATGCCATTATTACCATTACATAAATAATTATAGCGAACCAGATGATTATTCAACTCTAATTGCGACATAAGAGCTCATTATGTAAATATTGTACTTTATATCATGTAAAATCAAGTAATTTATTTGCAATTGAAATTGTTACAACATACTCGTATAGTACTTCATAGTAAAGTTTCTACTTGTACTATATAGATCCTAGGAAGTATTTTCACCCTATTGCAAGCTCTATTGGCACAGACTGGCCACAGTTAGCGGCCATCCTAGATCCAACGATTTGTGTTAAGGTTATAATGGAACAAAATCGCGACCATGTCTTTAACCAGGCAATGGAATTGCTCAATTACTGGTACAAAAAGGCACATCCCAATGTTAGCATTAGCCGATTGCAGCGGGCTTTGCAAACTATTGGTAGGAATGACATCATTCTGTCAAAGAACAACGAACAAAATTTCTAGAGTGCAAACAGCCTATCCTCAAAGCCATCTTCAATACAGCTTATAATTTATCGTACATTTAAATTGAACTTATAAAATATGCGCCAAGACAAAATTATTATAGAATGCCTTTACCTTCTTAAATTACTCTTCTAAATTAATTTAACTATCCTAACAGATAACCCTTCAAAAACAGGGAATACAATACAAGCTTAGTTACTTTTCAGCTTACGATGATTTTACAAGTAAACTTTAAACTTCCCAGCAAACTAATAGTAATTTGGATTAACATTCTTAATTTTATAGATGGTTGTCAGTTTTACACAGCGTTATACTATAGTATTAAAAATGTCAATTAAATACTAAAAATTAAAAAATTTTTAATTTATCGATAGTCCTAATTTAATTTCTTGTTGGCTTGCTTACAATTATCAATAAACTACAATGGCTATATTTTCTATGTTGTAGTTTTATCGCCATTAGACGTGAAATATTGAAGTATTACATGATGTATAAATAGATCGAAATTTAACTTCATTTGATTTTTTATAACAAGAATGGCATAGTATTGTATAAAGCCGCTAACTATGAAGCAGAAACAGCTATTGTAATTTAAAAATATGATTCATTTGCCTTATGTCCGTAATTTCTGCGTAATAACAAATTAATAGAAGTCATGGTGCTTCGATGTACTCTTTACTGTAGTAGTATTTGTTTAATTTTGAAGTGTATCGTTAAACTTGAATATTGGATAGTCTAGCATTAGCGTCCTTGTATGCAGTTGTGTCAGCAACGTAAGCGCAGTAACGTGTAAAAGTATACATTGATCTATCGATTTAGGCTGTCATAGCTAGTAAATATATAATAGCTCTTACAATCCAACGTGTTAAACCTTAACTTGACATTTGAGTTGTAACTTGATATTTACCCAATTATAAACTTGACTTCGGGAAATACTCTATACTACTGCAGTTCACTGTCTGATTGAATTGAGTCAACTTGCAATACGACTCGTATGCACGTCAAAGTGTCAGATAACTACTTGATGTCGATGGATACATTGGATTAGGAATGCATCATGTATCTCCAGGATATCATAACGCCTTGATTTTTTTCATTGGACTTCTGATGACTTGGGATTACGTCTACATCTTATAGTTTATAATCTGAAAATACTTTCCCCTTAAGCTAAAGGAACAATAGTATTATTTGTTGGCAATAATATTGCTTGTATTATTACCCACTTGTTGGCTCATTAGCAACGTTAGCAGACAAGGCTAAAACCTGCTTTCAAATTTGATTAGGATACGCTATACGGTAGTTTTATCGAAATACCTACGCGTACTCTATTATACAGGTATTGAATTAGATTAGTATAGCACTTTTATTAATAGAGCGTTTGTTGTGCTTCTATCTTGGCTCAATAAAAGTAATAACTTGGCTTCGGCCTAAGCATTGTCAACCTGAACGTAAATTAAGAATGCATCATGTCTCTCCAGGTTACTATAAGTCATGAATTTATTGGCTAGACTTGTAACAACTTGTCACTGCTTTTACTACTTATGATTAATAGCTCGAATATACTTTCCTATTACACTACAGGTAAAATAAAATTATGTGTTGAATCTTATCCACTTGTTCAATTAGTGGCAGCAAAATAACAGCAGTAATTGCAAAAGTAGCAGTCAAGACTAAATCCAGCTTTCAAATTTGATTAGAAAATACGTTGTGCGGTAACATTTTATCATCGAAATCATTTAATTTATTATATACGTATCGGATTAGACTGTTACTACACTTTTATTAATCGCGCATTTCTTTTGCTCACTTAATATTTAATAATCAGTACAGATCTGTAATCATGTTTTCAATCTGCAACCATAGCCTCTTGTAATGTAACTTAGTATTGTGATTGTAGACTGTTAACCATGTGTAGTATAATGTACGGTAGATATTTATCCTAAGAGATATTTGGTAGCTGTAACTATAGACTGTAGTGGTAGAGACTCTATGCTAGAGTACAGATGACTATATACAGTAAGCTGTTGAGTTACTAATATGGCTATAGGTAAAAATAGAACTGTAAATCATATATTAGGATATGGTTAATTCATTGTACTTTGGCTGGTGTGAATAATGTCTACGTAAGTACTGTAGTCGTATCCATATTGGATTAATGATGGTCCGCAGTAGAATAGTCTTACTAAGAATAATTTAACTATGTGTAAAATAAGGTAAAAGGTTGCCATGCGGATTGTAGCTGCGAATGCTACGGAAAGTATAAAAGCATGCAACTTTAGATTATCCTGTTAGTTCGTTCAAGAAGTCTTTAGAAGTAGTATTCGGCTAGAGTAGAGCTGTGTAGTTAATCTTTGTATAAGATTCAATAAAAGCCCTTATTTTTCTAAAATTTGGAATTTCGTGATTGGTATATATCACACCTCTGTAGTACTTAACATCATATCTAGTTTTATCGCTCCTAATTAGATCACAAACTTAATCTGAATTCATGTTTTAAGTACGCTCACTAGCAATCTCATTTAAGTTGACCAAAGCGGCATGCACGAAAATTTAAATTGTTATATGTCAAGGTGTTACATGGTAATTAAAAACTTCAGGACACTATTACGTAACTAGGCTCCGCCATAAAATGAAAATTAAATGAGTAAGACTTTGCATTCATTGTTATAGTGCTGTTAAATGGAACTACAGTATAGCTTACAGTCGATATAAAGTTTCAAATCTGTTTAGAAAAGAATCATAATGATGATTGCTGTTCATTAGCCATGAAACTATTTCGGGGCCTTAATCATAACGTTAACTAGAGAGATTATGGGATAAGCTTTGAGTATTTTTTTGATACCCGGACTTATAGTTATACTGATGATATAAATTAAATTTTATAAGAGTAGATAATATGAATACAGTATACTTTAAAATTGTAACACGTTATGAGTGAAATTAAGGCAAAAGTTAGCAAATTGTAATGAGGCACTCAACTAGACTTAAATTGAAGTAACGCTTTCAGTTATTTTTGTCACTGATGATATGATCGCGTACAGTTTTGTTAGCTAATGATATCATCAACGAATTTGAGGATCCGTATTTAGAATATTCTAGCTACCAGTAAACTAATTTACTGACTAAACAATTATTTATGAATTAAATTTACGACCATAATTTATTTTAGGATTGTTTATTCAATAAACTTTATAAGGTTAGCTAACTACCAGTAAAATACGTTCATAATAGGCAATTTTTTATGAGTTAATTCAGATTTTAATTAGTTCTAAGATTGATTATCTAGCAGACTTTCTATAAGAATTCATAATGCTCAAATTGATTCAACGCAAAAGTGACGATTAAAAATCCTAAGAAGCAGTATTTGTAGTAGTTTATATTTTATAACATATCATAGGTTTTAAAATTGCAGTAGTTACGAAAAAAATTGCCCAATATTATTGCTAAACGTGCGTGCTAGATCAGATGCAACCTTGACGACTTGAAGACTAGTTCATGTTTTCAATTTTATTTTTAATACAAGAATGGATATAAGGTGCTTCGATATAATAGCAAACCGACTCAATATAGACAATTTATTTCGTTTGTGAATCTCGTTTCATTCGCCACAAGTAGAAATTGAAGATATTTCAAGTAGAGAGCATAACCGTTACAATAAAGTGTACAAAGTTCTGATATTGTGGAAAAATAACGTCGGGCAAGATGCTGATATTTCCGTAGTAGTTGCAGCTTTACGTAAGATGAAAATCAATGCTATAGCTGACCAAGTCGAAGAAAAATAGCCGAATGGAAGAGAAGCTTGTAATGGTTATGAGTTATCCCAGTATAATTGATTATACACCTTTTTCCTACAGTTTTTCATGGAGACATGTTGCTATTCTACAATATAAGAGCTCAGAATTAGCTCTTGACGAAGGAATCATCTACTATTGTAATATATAGTAATTAAACTTTGCATGACTCTAACAATAACGAATAAGAGGCACAGGTAATCAAGTAGTACCGATGTTTTAAACTTAATCGCTATAGCGGAATGTAGTTTTGAATTAACCAGTGTTGCAGGTGTTTAAGTCGAATTTGGATAATTTTTACAATTTATCTCACGCAGTTTATCGCATTGATTCTAAATTGTATAGCTTAACCGGAGCAGTTTTCGATGTTGTATCTTGACTACTCTATCATGTAATTTAATATTATAAAAATCTCAATGTTAGATTAATTACTAAACAATAATAAACATAACGAATGTAATTGAATATCATCAAGTATTTTACAGTAGATTAGT